TCTGCCCTAATCAGCACGGCTTAGTATCGTGCAAATCTACGGTGACTAACCTTGCAGTTTTCACGGAGGATTGTTTCTCAACTTATCGTAATGGGTTTCAACTTGATGTGATATACACATACTTTTCAAAAGCCTTCGACAAGATATCCCACAATATTTTATTAACTAAATTAGAATGTAGGGGTATTCATTCGGGCTTCCTTAAGTGGATCAGGTCCTACCTACGCATGAGATCTAGCACGGTGGTTATCGATGGCGTTTCGTCTAAGCCATTTTTTGCTTTCTCAGGTGTCCCACAGGGAAGCATCCTGGGCACACTATTTTTCGTACTATTTATTAATGACATCAGTTCCTGTTTTTCAAATGCTAGTTTTCTTCTGTTTGCAGATGACTTGAAAATATATTCTGAAATTAGATGCATAAATGACTCGGCTGAACTTCAATCGCAGCTTGACAGGCTTTATACTTGGTGTGTTGAAAATCGGCTTTTCATTAACATCAGGAAATGCCATAAAGTCATTTACTAAATCGAAAGTACCTTTAGCAACATCTTATTCCATTGCAAATATTTGCCTTGACTCGTTAAGTGAGATTAAGGACCTTGGAGTACATTTCGACTCAANCTGTCTGATCCTATCAAATATTCGTAAAAATTTCACTAAGAGCACGTCTTCTACTCTTGATCTGGGTTCGCTTACTCTAATAGAAGATGATATTATTGAGGATATCAAAAATATAAAAAGCTCGTCTGGCATAGATGCAGATGGGTTTTCAGCTATCTTATTCAAAAACTGTGTTTCCTTAGCGAAGCAATTACTACTAATATTCAATAAATCTCTTTCTGAAAGTCTGTTTATTGACGACTGGAAGCGAAGGTCAATCACACCTATTTTCAAGACTGGAAACAAATGCGATGTTGAAAATTATAGACCAATTAGTAAATTGTCCACAGTTGCTAAAAGTTTCGAAAACATTAATAAAACTAAACTTTTTTTAATGTCAAACATTTGATCTGCCCTAATCAGCACGGCTTAGTATCGTGCAAATCTACGGTGACTAACCTTGCAGTTTTCACGGAGGATTGTTTCTCAACTTATCGTAATGGGTTTCAACTTGATGTGATATACACATACTTTTCAAAAGCCTTCGACAAGATATCCCACAATATTTTATTAACTAAATTAGAATGTAGGGGTATTCATTCGGGCTTCCTTAAGTGGATCAGGTCCTACCTACGCATGAGATCTAGCACGGTGGTTATCGATGGCGTTTCGTCTAAGCCATTTTTTGCTTTCTCAGGTGTCCCACAGGGAAGCATCCTGGGCACACTATTTTTCGTACTATTTATTAATGACATCAGTTCCTGTTTTTCAAATGCTAGTTTTCTTCTGTTTGCAGATGACTTGAAAATATATTCTGAAATTAGATGCATAAATGACTCGGCTGAACTTCAATCGCAGCTTGACAGGCTTTATACTTGGTGTGTTGAAAATCGGCTTTTCATTAACATCAGGAAATGCCATAAAGTCATTTACTAAATCGAAAGTACCTTTAGCAACATCTTATTCCATTGCAAATATTTGCCTTGACTCGTTAAGTGAGATTAAGGACCTTGGAGTACATTTCGACTCAAAACTCACGTTCACTTCGCACTTAAATAAAACTATTGCTGACTCATTTGCCATGCTTGCATTTGTTAGACGTCACTCTTCAGAATTCACCGATCCTTATACTATTAAAATGCTACTACTACTACCACTACTATACGGCGTTTGTGCGTTCAAAATTGGAATATGCTGCGATTATTTGGAGACCGAGACATACTGTTCATATTAATCGTTTAGAAATGGTACAAAAGGTTTTTTTACGCTTTGCTTTACGTTCACTAAGGTTTGTGGAACTATTGCCATCATATGTATCCCGTTGTCGGCTAATTAGCCTACCAACTTTGCATAATAGAACTTCTCAGGCTATCTCATTTTTATTGGGTATTATCTCGGGAAAAGTTGACTGCCCGGCCCTACTTGAGAATCCATTTTTATGTTCCTAGCCGTAACTTGCGTCGTTTTGACGCGTTTAAGGTTGGGCTAAACAGAACGGTTTATGGTGCAAACTCGCCAATAAACAGAACCTTATCAGACTTCAATTATTTTTGAAATTTTTTAGACATAGATGTTACCAATACTAGAGCAACTACATTAGAATTGCAAAGATATCTTATGTCCAGTCATTAATATCATGTAAATTCTGTAATTCCTAATCTGTTTGAAATTCTTGATTGGTTTTTTGAAATCTTGCTTAAGTAATCTTGTAAATTTAATTTTTAAGTAGACAACTTAGCATAATGACTGATAGTTATATTTAATATTCTGCTTAATGTCTGTTATAACTATAGTTAGTTGTTAGACATAAATAAAAAAATAAATAAATAAATCCATGTGTCGAGTACAGTGACGAGCAAAACTGTAACATGGTTTAACACTTTTTGTTTCAGCCACCGCTATATTTCCAAGTTCTAACGACTTTCATCCTTTTGTTGAATATTCTTGTTGATACATCCCTACTCCCTCTCTCGTAATGATTTGAAGTCAATACAACAACAATAAAAAAAAACCAGCAGACAAAAATGTAAATCAAGGCAGATGTTACGGTTTTGCACTCACTCTGTTTTGCATTTGACAGTTATCTTTTACTTAGTTGGAAGTCAGATGACTTTTTTCTATATTGTATTTTATTGAAGAAGTGATCACCAGTAAATAACATAGTTAATCAGGAACCATAAATGTAAATAATAGATTTACTGCGGAAAGGCGGGACCGCACGAAAAGTGTCAAAAAATTGTGGAATTTGCTACTTGAAAATGTTAAGACTGAGAAAAAATATAGCCTAAAGTGCTCCCAAGGACAAAGGAAGTCTGTTAAAAAATATTACGGTACGATATCTTGTGAACTTAGAAGCAAGTAGCGATGCAGCCACTATTACAGAAGCGCTTAGCGTATTAAACTTTAATGCAAATCAATAGACAGCGAAGAGAAGAATTGCCAAATTGAGCGCAAAGGCATCATAAAGAAGAAAAAAGCAAATTTGATCATAATACATGTGCGAGTGTGACAGCATTTCGCTGCATCGCACGAAAACCGAACCGTTGCCTATTGGGATATGTTGGGCCGTTCAGAATGCAATAAAAAACATATTTTTAAGTTTCAATTGAAGGTTATTGGGTCTGACAAGACTAAATTAATCGCTTTCAATCAGATGGCCAGGCATGGTATTGGATCAAAGACCCAAATTAAGCCTAAGCGCATCATGTACTGCAAACTGTGAATCACAGTGGTAGGATCTTAATTGTTTGGGGTTGTATTTCAAAAATTTTATTGGTCCGTTAGTACGAATTATGCGTAAGGAACAATATCTGTTCATATTTTAACAAAATTTGCAAGATGTAGTCGAAAAATGAGAGTTTCTGCTGAAAAATCACCCAAAACATACTGCATATGTTCGCAAAGATGGATACAAAAGCAAAAATTTGCTAATTTGAAATGACCTCCACAAAGCTCGGACATGAATCTCATCGAGAATTCGCGAAATCAACTAAAAGCACAGCTTAATAAGTATCAAACTCCGTAAAATCGAGTGCATGAGCTGTGAAAGCAAACTAAGGATATACCTCCAGAATTTTTACAAAGATACAAATAAGGTATGCCAAATTACATCCAGGAACTGAAACAGGCAAAAGAGTACTGAACATTGTGTTAGTAGTTCTTTTTTTCGTGAAGTGTTAAAAAGCTCTTAAAAATATATGAGTGCAAAACTGTGACATCTGCCTTAATTTACATTTTTGTCTGCTGGTTTTTTTTTTGTTGTATTGACTTCAAATCATTATCAGAGAGGAGTAGGAAATATAGCGGTGGCTGAAACAAAAAGTGTTAAACCATGTTACAGTTTTGCTCGTCATTGTAAATCCATGTAACTGTTTTTTTTTTACATTTTTGGAAGCCTGTAGATCCTCCACCCACCGCTGAAAGGAAAAACATCACTTGACCTTTTTGTCATCCCATCGTAAAATCTTCAAAATCCAATAGGTGAAAAAGCCGCTCGAGTAAATCCCGATATAGCTTCGTGTGCTGCCGTACTATTAGGCACACGAAGATTTTACAATTTAAATGTAGCGTTGTATTGGGGTGCCTTCAGAAATGCATCAAACCAAAGCATCAGTCTCTTTTTCTTCTAAATTATAACTGATGCAAATGCCTTATTTACACAACCAAGTTCCAATTGGGCATTTAACCGTGGTTGCGCATATTGCATATTTCCATCAATTGCAGTTTAGAAATAAATACGTTGTTGTTGTTGTAGCAGCATACAAATTCCCCAAAGACTTTTTGGGGAGTGTTGCTGGAGTGACAGTGCTTGGCCAGATATAAATCTGGGTCGTTCCGGTTACGTAGACCCCGACTGTCGTGTGAACGAGAAATAAATACGTCTGATGCTTTGGTGTGATGCATTTCTGTACACACCCTTAATTCGCTTTGATTCATACCATGTAAATGCACCATTAAGCTTATAATCATAAAGTTACTTCTGAATATTGCGGAAAAGTTTTTTAAAAATAATTAAATTTATTATTTCCAGGAATTACTATTTTTAACCGGCTCTTCAAAAAGGAGGAAGGTTATCAATTCGTCGGATTTTTTTTGTATGTTACCGCATTACTTCGGAACACGTTAACCGATTTCTATAATTCGTTTTTTAAAGGAAGTTGTTACCTTACAGGTGGTCCCATTCTAATTTGGTTTGAACCCGATCATTGGATCATGAAGAGATTAACGATAATCTTAAATTTGTATATGAGAATTGAAGTCAGTTTTATTTTTTGTTTAAAAATTACTTGTTTGCAGTTTGGACAGTCTGCTTCTATAGAGCTACAAAGAGGGATAAGTCTATCCGCTTGTATTAAATAAATAAATGTAGTCCTTACTTATAAAATTAAAATGTATTACCTTATCATAAAGATTCTTTCTGTCCATGTTGGTATCATCATGATCGTCCACATTAGATAATGTCGCTCCTTGCTTAGAAGTTTTGTCTTCTTTAAGAAAAACTTCTAATAGAGTCGAAAATGCGATTCCTGCCAAAATGCAAACCACTGGTGTAAGAGTTAACATTAGGCGAACCATGACACCAGCAAAATAAACTGCACTTAGAGCATATAAAATGACAAATATACGTTCGTCATTAGCGTACTTCACACAGTACCAGATTCCCACGGGGAAAGAACAAACAAGTATATGCAAATCGAAGAAAAATGAAAACCAAGTTGTCGGCTGGTGCTCAGAAACAGAAGCAATGATTGGTATATGAATTTTAGCGTATCCTGTATCCCATAAGGAATAGAAACGACCACTCCATGGTGCAATTACTCCTAATACAGTTAGCGCTACTACGCTAATAAATACGATAATAGCAGCTATGACAGCTCCACATAAGAATACCTTCCGAAATTCATTCCGAGATAAAACACTTTGCAAATGTCGCAATATTGCAACAATTATCAGCAATATAAATACGCCTAAAGCAGCCATATGTTCGCTTGTGCGTATAGGTTGAAAACCAACAAAGGGAATTTGCATCGATAATAGTAAACCAAGGATATAGAATGTTGAATAACTTGTTAGAATCCTCGGCGAATAGCGTCCCATTATTATTAGCAGAAAGACGTGTAGAGGAATCAAGTTAATAATGAATACATATCCACCCCATGCTGAAACCATATAGAAATATGAGACCGCCGAGGCAGCCGACCAAAACATGGAGCCAGTTTTAATTGATCGCACCCATAAGAAATATGTAAATTGTAATGCAAATATAGCGATTCCTTCATTGTCATAAGAACCCGCAACGGATCGACTGATGTATCCGGGCACGATGGCAATAAAACTTGCAGCAAAAAGACCCGCACCTTGAGACCACAGTTCACTTGTGAGCAAGTATGTAGATATTGAAGTTAATCCACTGAACACTGGGGCCAAAAAAACGCAGATATCTCGGATATGAATAGGAATATTCATAGAGTGTAATATATAATGGATGCCACCAGATGTTATCATCAATCCAGGATATACCGTTCCTCCAACTATCCTGCCAAGAGGGTACCATGCGCGCTCGTCAAACCAATTTAAAAACTTGTAAAATCCATGTTGAACCATATAAGCGGTGGCGCGGTAGTTGAACCACGGGTCAAATTCATGAATGATGGATTCAAATCGTATTACAGCAAACAAACGGGAAGAAAACCCTGCGATCCATGCAATCATCAGAATAATGAATGCTATTAAACTGCTATATCCGACAGATCGGCGCCAAATAACGCTGGATGCTTGACTCATGATTAAACAATGGCCCGTTATAAACTAAAGCATAAAAGAATTAAATTAATGAACACGTATCAAAAACACTTCTTAGGTATGTGTAAATACATCGATGCATCGAAAATATCGATTCTTCGTTCTATACATGGAACAGGGAAGCCAACTTCTGGGGAATTCCCCGATTTGCGGGGAATTCCATTTTGCGTTTGAGTCGGGGAATGGACTTTTTTAGTATAGGGCCTGTGCCAAATGTTAGAAAAGAGAAAATTTTGACGGATCAAAGTAGAAATCTGATGTTTCTCGTGGTGAATANATTTGGGGAATTCCCCGATTTGCGGGGAATTCCATTTTGCGTTTGAGTCGGGGAATGGACTTTTTTAGTAACGGGCCTGTGCCAAATGTTAGAAAAGGGAAAATTTTGACGGATCAAAGTAGAAATCTGATGTTTCTCGTGGTGAATAAGAACGTCAGAATTTTACCTAGCTCATGGGGCTAGGTAAAATTTTGACAGCTTATAACCATGTATACACATAATATTGCTTGGCGGTAATAAGGAGTGAACATGAAAATGAAAGCTGAAACAGCATAAAAAAGCGTACGTTACTTGCCAATTATACAATAAATATAAATTTTAAGAATTTCAGCAACACAAAAATAAAGCTTTCGCTCGAGCGTTTGTTTGTTTTTTAACTGTCAAAATTTAACTCTGCATTTGGCACAGCAAATTTCAATTTATTTGTACACCATAGCAAATTTTTCCACCCCGTCTCACCACGGAGAAAAAAGTTACCGATTGGCACAGGCCCTAAGTTAAGAATCCGAACATTGCAAAATCTTAAAAAAAAAATAGGTATGAGTGTTTATAGAGGTTTTTGAGACAAATACAACAGTATACTTTTTTGGGACAGACACAACAACTAAGCTTTCTGCACATTGGTCGTCCAATCATAGTTGCTTCATCGTCACAATCATGATGTAACGATTACATGACGACTACACTTTCGCACACTCGGTCGTGATATTTCTATTCATTTGGCGTCTAAAAATTCACTTGGAGCAGGTATTTTCTGTTTTTCTGGTTGATATTTTCGCGAAATATTTACAAAAACCTGCAATTTTTAAAATATAGACTGTGCTGCAACAATTCTAGACATAATTTTTCATTAATCCCTTTTCTTATTTTCTTTTCCTGAAATGTGTTTTGTTCATGCACACAGAGACTTTTTACAATTTCGTCATATTTCGCTCACATCTATTGAATTTTAATGCAATTATCCACTTTTTAATAATATACACAGATTTTATGCAAAAAATACTAATTTTTAATAATTAATAATTAATAATTAATGCAAATAATAACTTTTTCACTAAGTTTTCCCCATAAAACGTAAACAAACAATCCGTGCACAACGATTAGCAAACGACAGTGCCGTACTTATCCGTTTCTGCTTCTTCTACGATTTGCCGATAACTAGGCGATAACGACAAGTGTGCAGATCCCCTTTGAAATGCTCGGCTAAAATTTTCAAGGCGAGACGATAACGCAATTATGATTGGACGACAAGTGTGCAGATAGCCTTAGGGCCGGTTACTCAATGTCTGGTTAACACTAATCTGCGGTTAAACATCGTTATCGACGTCTTCGACTCCATGCATACAACAGGGAGTCGGTAATGTCGATAACTATGTTTAACCGGAGATAAGTGCTAACCAGACATTGAGTAACCGGCCCTAAGGCAGTTATGACATTCGAGAACATTCAGCGGCCAGCGTAACATCGGAGAATTCTATCTGAGCGTGGAAATTGAATATCTAATATAAGTGAACATACATACACAATTAAGAGCATATGAAAAAGCCTTTTTTCAACCTTTAAGGGCCGTTTGCACCATGTCTAGTTAACGCTAACTGGAGGTACATCCTTCAGTTAAGCACGTTAACTGCTTTATCGATCACATGTTATATGATGGGTGTCGATAACGTCGATAAAGATGTTTAACTGGGAGTAAAGGCTCTGTTATGCATAATTGGCATTGCATGCACTGCTACACCATTTTTACGTAGAAATCAAAAACCAACAGACTTCTACGTATGTACTGCTGTGCGTTGGATAACCGCTTACACGCGGACCTCATTTAACAGATTTCTTATGTGATAACTCTCAAGCCATGCCAAGTATGCATAAAGGCTCTGTTATGCATACTTGGCATTGCATGCACTGCTATACCATTTTTACGTAGAAATCAAAAACCAACAGACTTCTACGTATGTAGTGCTGTGCGTTCGATAACCGATTACACGCGAGGCTCATTTAACAGATTTCTTATGTGACAGCTCTCAAGCCATGCCAAGTATGTATAACGGAGCCTTAACAGAGCCTTTAGAATTAACTAGACATGGTGCAAACGGCCCTAATAGGGCTTTCGCACGAGGCGATTTTTCAGGCAAATTTTAGTTGAAAGAAAAAATCGCCTCGTCCGAACGGCTTTTCAAATAATCGCTTTCAACAAAGTTGGTCGCCAGCCAACTTTGAGCTCGTTCAACTTTTTTTCCTTGCAACCCTGTGTTTGTTTACATTCTGTATACATACTTTTTTCTTTTTTACTTTTATTTTATCTTTCAGCTTCGCTAAAAGCACTTGTACCAATGCTTGGCTTACAAAATTTACGCCAATTGATAAAATTTTGCGATTTAAATTAATTTTCAATAATGTAAATAACAATTCGTGTTGAATCGAAAATCGCCTCGTCTGAATAGGAATGGCAACTTTTTCACTTTCAACTTCTCATTCAACTTCGCATTCAACTTTTGTTGCCTGTAAAATCGCCTCGTGCGAATGCCCTATAAGAATTTTAATACTAACTTGTAAACCAAGCGCAAGAAGGACGGATTCCATTCAACATAAACCAGATAAAAACAGGGTAAGTTATAAATTACTTGCTGAAAGGTGTACTTAAACTAAGCTAAGGTGCAGCGGCAATATGCCGGAATTTTCACCGCCAAATAGTGGCGTTCCACCTGACAAAAGTGCAGGTGAAAACGTTAAAACTGATATGAAACTTAAAAAAATTAGGAAAAGATCGAAAGACAAAACTGCCAAAACGGGAATTTACGATGCTGGCGACATACATACTGACACAACGGACATAACGAAATCGGACAACGAACCAACGTACTCTGATCAGAAAAACAAAAAAATTAAAAATGATAAACCGTTCATTCCATTGCAAGGCATGCTAATCAAAAAAGGAACATACCCCAGCATACAAATGAACTTACAGACAGACAGCTTGATACCTGCACTAAACAACACACAACCGAACATGCACACTGTCGCACAAGGGAACCAAAACACCCCCAGGGAAATTTTCAAAGTGAACAAATATACCGAAAACCACAGAGGTGACTTCGTGGTATTATTTGACACCTCAGCGAGCAACTTATTTGACAACAAGTCTATGAAGAACGGGCTGTATCTCTTAGCTAAAATAAGGAACTTCCAGATAGAAGGGATTAAAGACATCAAGGCTGTTGGTAGAACACTATCCAAAATAGCTTTCTACACATACAAACTAGCAAACGAATGCTTGGAGAACAAAAAATTGTTGGAAAACAACATTCGACCCTTTATACCAAAAAGCTTGACTGAAAGCTATGGTGTAGTGAGACAAGTGCCTCTCGACTTCACAGACGACGACATTTTTAAGAACATACATAGTGACAAAAGGGTAGTGGCGACCCAAAGAATTTACAGAAGTGACTCTGAAGACAGAGACAAACTCATACCAACGTTGACAGTAAAAATAGCCTTCGAAGGTAATGAGCTGCCAGAAACAGTTAAGATTTACTGCGTGAATTTTAAAATGCAGCACTACATACCCAGAGTAAGAATTTGTTACAATTGCGGACGACTAGGCCATACAAAAATGGCGTGCAAGGCCAAAAACAGATGTATAATGTGTGGCAAAGAAGAAGGATGTGAAAACAAATGCAATGAAAAGAGGAGATGTATTCTGTGCGGAGATGGCGCACATGTCACACTGAACAGGAACCAGTGTCCTGAGTGGGAGAAAGAAAGGAAAACAATTGAAATCATGACCATTAAAAAGCTGTCAAGGAAAGAGGCAATAGAGGCTTATCGGGAACAAATCAACTCGCATAACAGATTCGCGCTTCTAGAGAACTACGATGTTGAGTTTCCAGCACCCAGCAAGTTTCAGCAAAAAACCCTAACTAATGATAACATCATAAATAAAAGCCTAACCAACAAGAAGTACAGCTATGTAACTAAATTCTACTACCCTAATCCCATTGCAACGAGCTCATCCAAAGCCAAAAAAGCAACGAAAGCGACAATTGGAGTAAAACATCCGAAGTGGAGAGAAGCTAATTGACACTCTGTGCAAGAAGTTTCAAATTAACAAAGAAGAGCCCATTGACAAACTTCTCGAAAAATTTTGCAAAAACAATATGGGTGAAAAGCCCAGGATAATGAGACCAGTTAGCAATGACCAGTATACGGATCCTGCAACATAACTGCCAAAGCTTAAAACAACAAAGACCACCTAGACTTTTTCTTAAACAAATACAATATTGACATAGTTGCATTGCAAGAAATATTTTCACATGACGACGACGACGAGAAGAACAATCACAAGCTGATTAATTTTAATCTAATCAAAAAAACTAGAAGTAATGGTTGGGGAGGTGTAGCCATTGGCTGCAAGAAAAGCATAAGAATGGAAAAAATCAAGTACAGAACAAATCAAGACGTTCTAATCGTAAAAACAATCAATCTTAAAAGCAATTTAATAATATGTACAGCCTATTTCAACCCGTCTATTTCCTCGGCTATATTCAGAATGGAGATAGAAAAATTAACAGCCTTTTTGCAAAGACATTCAAACGTGTTACTGTTAGGTGACTTCAACGCCAAAAGCACTACTTGGGGAAACCACAAAAACGACCTCAAAGGTAAAATATTAGCAGACGCAACAAACAACTCTGACTTGAGATGCCTAAACGATGGCTCCAAAACCTTCCATACGGACAGAAATAACCACAACCCCTCAAGTGGCTCTGCCTTAGATGTCACATTTACCAACATTATTGAATCAA